TATGCGGCACTGGTCAGGCCGCAGTTGGAGTACTGCGTCCAGTTCTGGGCGCCGTACTCAAGAGGGATGCGGACAGCATTGAGAGGGTCCAGAGGAGGGCCACTTGCATAATCAGGGGACAGCAGGGCAGGCCCTACGAGGAGAGGCTGCGGGACTTGAACTTGTTCAGCCTCCACAAGAGAAGGCTGAGGGGGGATCTAGTGGCTGTTTACAAACTAGTTTACAAGCTAGTCAGGGGGGACCAGCAGGCATTGGGGGAGTCCCTGTTCCCCCCAGTGCTAGCAGGAGTGACAAGAAATAGCGGTCACAAGCTGGCAGAGAATAGATTCATATTAGACATCAGGAGGCGCTACTTCACTGTCATAGATTCATAGATTAAGGGTCGGAAGGGACCTAGTAGATCTTCTAGCCCGACCCCCCGGCCAGGGCGGGAGAACAACAAAAAACCCCAAAAAGAGAAACGGGACTCAAATGAGTCCAGCCAGGTAGGCATCCAGCCTCTTCTTAAAGACCCCCAGGGTAGGGGCCAGCACCACTTCCCTTGGAAGTTGGTTCCAGCTCCTAGCCGCCCTAACTGTGAAGTAGTTTTTGCGGATGTCCAATCTATACCTCCTCTCCATCAACTTGTGCCCATTACTCCTTGTTATGCCAGCGGGCGCTAGGGGAAACAGCGTCTCCCCCAAACCCTTCTGGTCCCCCCTAGTGAGTTTATAGACAGTCACCAGGTCCCCCCTCAGCCTTCTCTTGTGGAGGCTGAATAGGTTCAGGTCCCGCAGTCTCTCACTGTAGGGTCTGCCCTGTTGTCCCCGGATCATGCGGGTGGCCCTCCTCTGGACCCTCTCCATGTTGTCCACATCCCTCTTGAAATGGGGCGCACAGAACTGGACACAATACTCCAGCTGTGGCCTGACCAGCGTCGCGTAGAGGGGGAGGATCACCTCCTTGGCTCTACTCGAGATGCACCTGTGGATGCACGACAAGGTCCGGTTGGCCCTGCCAACCATGACCTCGCATTGTCGGCCCATGTTCATCTTGGAGTCAATAATGACTCCAAGATCTCTTTCCACCTCCGTGCTCTCGAGTAAGGAGTTCCCCATTGTGTAAGTGTGTCAGGGCAGCCAGGATCTGGAACCAACTTCCAAGAGAAGTGGTGCTGCCTCCCACCCTGGGGGTCTTTAAAAGGAGGCTGGATGAACACCTTGCTGGGGTCGTTTGACCCCAGTACTCTTTCCTGCCATGGCAGGGGGTCAGACTTGATGATCTGCTCAGGTCCCTTCTGACACTACCAACTATAAATTGGAGATTTGGATCACTGTCCTGAATCGATTTGGTTAAATCAGCTTCAGAAGATTCGGCGCTGATTTGGTGATCCGGATTGGCCGGGGAGAGGCAGACATGGGTAGGTGGCTGGCAGAGGGAGCCACGGGAGAAGCCACCATGGCTGCCCTGCCTGGCCCCAGCCTCCCGGCACTTAAAAACAACAACAAAAAAAAGCCCTGCACTCATCAGCTGTAGCAGCAGCTGTGGGGGGCTCTGGGGCCTCCTGGCAGAGTCCCCCCACTCAGCTCCTGCTCCCCGACTGCCCACCCGTCCCCAGTAGTCCGGGAATCAAAAAAACCCCCACAAAACCCTGCACTTACTGGCAGTAGCAGGGGCTGTGGAGGCTCTGGGGCTACATGGCAAAGCCCCCCGCACAGCCCCTGCTCCCCCCTCCCGATGGCTGCTTTGCCTGGCCCTAGCATCCTGGCAATTAAAAAAAAAAAAAAAAGAAAAAAAAAAGGCCCTGCACTCACCAGCTCTGGTAGTTGCGACTGGGGGCTATGACGGCTCATGGCAGAGCCCCCCATACAGTGCAAGGCAGTGTGGGGTAGCGGGGATTGCGGGTGCAGTGCGGCACGACGGGGGTATTTTCTTTGAAAATACTTTATATCCATTTTTCTTCACTAAAAAATGGATTGTTCACAACATAACAACTCATGCCCTAGTAGATTAATTCAAAGTGTTTAAAGAAAAATATTGAGAAATTAAATAAGCTTTAAACTTTTGCTGCCTACTAAAACAGCAAAATGCTACTGTCTTTATCAAACCTACTAAATATCCAATATATGCAAATGATCACACTTGCTTAAAGAGGATTATCCCCTCTTCCTCCCTCTGCATACCCCAATGACAAAGTCATAGATCACACAAAGAGGCTAAACAATATAAATATTCCCTACAATTTGGGAAACTACAAATTTATGCAACATGTCATATAATGAAGGGTAAAACTATTCTCACAGATTATCAAGTTTAGAACCCAAACTCCCACATCAGTACAAGCAGCATGGAAATGTTTCAAATTAAGCAATCGGAATAAGACTGAAAGTTTGAAATACATTTTAAAACTCTTTACCTCTTTGGCTCTCTGTACAGCATCACTTGGAGGATTCCTGATTTGTGGTGAAGATTTTGTGTTAATTTTGTCATAAAGCTGAAATCAGAAGAAAGCAAAACATTGTAATCATGTGCTCTTTTTCCTGTGTTCAGAGTTTAATCCAACAATCTGTATGTGTTAGTATGGCTATAATATTCATGTTAAAGTGCAACATCACAGATGTTGTATACAAGTTTAGAATCCTGTTTTTTTTTCCCTTAAACCTTTCCTGAGCTGAACAGTACCATCCATTCAAAATTTACCCGATATCATGGGAAAGTTTAAAGGAGGTTGTGTGCTTCCCATGCATTTTCAATAGCAGACTCATAGGAATCATAACACTTGTGCAATGTTTCTATGAGCTTTGAATAGATGACACTATAACTCCTAACAAATCCTACGTAATGCTAAATACTTCAGTTAATCTAGATTTTTTGCTGTTTCCAATAAGCCAAATGTCAACTGTTCCAAGCATTACACAAATATAAATTAAAGTTTTAAGCAGAAGATAATGCACCTCCTGACAGAAAAGCTCTTCAGGAAGAAATGCTGCAGAAATGCAAGTCCTGGGAAAAATGCAAAATTATAGCTTCTAGGAAGGAATGTTCAGAGAAGCCATTATCCTCTTTTTATATTCCAACAACAGCATTAATACCAGCTGTTTAACTAGGAATCAAAGTATCTCATTTCTAATCTATTTTTAAAAATATGTTTGTATATTAAATTATTCTTAAACCCCTCAAATAAATAAAATACAATTAAGGATAAGAAGACTTATAATGCTTCCACGAAAGTGTGCAAATTATAAGGGAATAGCCATATATCACAAGTGGACAAGCTACATAAGTAATTACTTCGATCAAAAGCATTACTGCTGCTGCTTCTTCGCTTTAAATATGATCCAAAAGAAACCAAGGTATCCAAATAACTTTCATCTGTATCAGACAATGTATATAAAATGTGAATGTAAACAGAAACTATTCAGAATATAAATAAGCATATGAAAATTATCTCTATACACAGACACAAAATATTTGATGAAATCACATAATAAGGTTTTATTTACTTAATTTTTGGATGCAAGACAAGTGCCAAGTAAGAGTCATTTATTTATACAGCACAAAACCATCATGTATTATAGAAAAAGCTGGTAAAGAAGCCTGTATTTACGTTCCCTAACAAAGGATTCTTGAATTTTCTTTGAAAAAAACCTCAGGCTTCCATTTTTTGAAGCAGCTCTTTGATATTTGGCAAGGGGGAAATCACTTCAGGTTACAAGCGGGCTTTTCTGTGTCCCAGGAAACCCCATTTAGGTTTGCTTGAGATACAAAAATGCTATTTTTTTCTCCTGATGTGTTCTTCAAGAAAAAAAAGAAAACTGTCAGCATGTGAAAATCACTGAACATTCCAAGTCTGGGCTCACAACACTGGCACACAGCAGCAGTACACATTACCCTAGGAACACAAGGGCAGGTGCTAGGATAGCTGATCTAGGAGCAGGAAAAGAAGCATAGGAGGACCAAGTCAGACTTCAGACTTCCCTACCCATAGCAATTTTCTCTCGTGCAGGAAACGTTAAGCTTTGCAACAGCAATTTGTGCTACAAAGTATACATTGTGTGTATATGTGTGTGTGGAGAGGCTGCCTGGATTCCTCCTTCTGGATGCTACAGGGTGGGGGCCTGCCTAAAATCTCCACAGCTTTTAAAGAGCACTTTGGCTAGGATAATATAGTTGGGGGTGGTCCTGCCTTGAGCAGGGTGTTGGACTAGATGACCTCCTGAGGTCCCTTCCAACCCTTATTTTCTACAATTCCCCCAAACTGCTTAATTAATTTCAATTGCCCACAATGGACCCTGCTTTGCAGGGTCCCAGGACACTTTAGGGTAGACGTGTATACTGCATAAGACACATAAAGAGTGAGAAATCAGAGCAAAACGTTAAGATTTGGAATTGAGCAGCTTTGCAGAGAAAGTCCTTTCAAAGTTACAAGAATTGGAGACCTTGGGCCCCCTGGAACACCCAGCTTCTGGGTCTCAAGATCTCCCTTACCCACCTGATCCCCCCACCCCAAATCAACATGGGATGCCATGGAATGGCTGGGTACTCACTACCACCCCTTAGAAGTGATACTACAGCACTGCAATGCCTACTTGGATAGTGCACGTGCAGATGCCTCAGACTTGAGAAAAGTGTGGACCAGCTTCCAAACAGTGACATTCCTGGAATGGTTCAACTGTTATGTGTGTTCACAATGTGCGTCTAGTCCCAAGAGATCACACATTACAACAAGTTAAACCAGCCACTCTTCTAGAACACAGGGATGAAAGAGGAAACAATCTCTGGCTGCTTAAAAAAAACAGAAGTTTATTTTTAAAGTACTACATTTACCCAAATCCAAGATGGCTTTGAATTTAAGATGACCCCCCATAATTAGATTCTATACACAGAAAATTACAATTTTATAATTTTCCGTGTATAGAATCTAATTATTGGAGGGTGATCTTAAATTTGTTCCTCCCACCCCAATGGCAAGGAAAGCAGTGGCAAAGGGCCAGACCCTCGTCTCTTGCCCTCCCTTCCTCCCCTCCCCTTGCTTACCTGTGCCTGGTCCCCGCTACCTGTCCCCCATGCCATTTGACCCCTGCTCCCATGCTGCCTGTCCTTCCCTGCCATTTGCTGTTGATCCTCTGCCACCTATACCCCCTGCCATGTGTTCCCTTGTGACTGCCACCCTGACCACCTTGCCTGACCCATCACTTGTCCCTCTGGTGTCTGTCTGCCCTGCCATGTGCTGCCTGCTGCTACCTGCCCCACCCAGTGCCTGCATCATCTCCTGCCACCTGCCTACCCCATTCTCCCCACTGTCTGTACTCCTTCCTGCCACTTCCCTTCTGTAGTGACACTAGTTCTAGGGCAATCAGTGGTGGCTGTCCCTGTCCTGGCTCAGCTCAGTCAGGCAGAAGCAGTGGTGGCAGCGTTGGACCCAGTGGGGACAAGTGGCTGGAGCTGAACATAAATGGCATGGGAAAGGGTAGAAGGGGAGCAAGGGTGCATGGTCTCTCTTGTGCTCAACCCACTGATAGCTCCCTCCCCTGCTGCACAAGCCACCTCTGCGGGTGCATCCAGACGAGTGCACACGTGCCTCTTGCCCCATCTCAAACTGCTTTGAGGCGGGGCAAGAGACATGTGCGGAAACGAAAAAAGGTTAAAATGATAAAATTGGGAATGATAAAATCAGACCCTTGGATATCTAGGGGTCTAAAAAAACTGCTCTACAGAAGAGTAGAGCAAGCACAGTCCCAGACCGTGCCAGGGAGTCAGTCCTTTTAAAGAGATGTTCTGGTGTCAGCCAGAGTGTCTCTTCTGTTCTCCTGCTGCCTCTGGCCCCCGGCGCTGTCCAAGGTAAAT